TTCGAGTCGTATCTTATCTATAAGTTTGCCGCCTGCTAACGAGGAAGAGCAGGCACAAATTACTCGATAGCAGGCGGCAAACTTATAGATACAAGATACGACTCGAATGACGAGCACAAAAAAAAAGAAAAGAAAGGAATAGAATAAAAAGCGAGAAAATGAAAGAAATTTGCACGAAAAATTATAAAAGAAAAAAAAGAAGAGGCGAAGTACAGCGCAGTGGCGTAGTAGGGGTGGGACGGGGCGTTGCAGAGCTGAGGGTAGGTAACTCAATCGGTATAGAAGCGGCAAAGTTTTCGAATTAATTTATTGATACGACGATAAGGAAATGGAAATGCGAGGCGAAGACAAGCAGCAGATAAAAGAAAAAGAGATAAACGATATTAATAGATGGACAGAGCGAGAAGAGCGGGAGGAAGAAAGAGGAAGCCTCACTTGGGGGAGAAGATTGTAAAGTGAAGTTGGTTTAATCAAATGGGCACGAAAATTTAAAAGCCAAATGAAAGAGCTGAGCCATAAAAAATGATTTGTGATTGCGCACAGCGGCAAGTGTGGTCGGGTGAGAGAGATAGAAAGAGAGAGTGAGGTATAGAGAGGCGAGTAGATAAAAAGAGATCGTATGAGTCATAATGCTCATACGCAACGTTGACAACAGCAGCTGGCTTTAAAAAAACTTGCATTTGTATTTGTTTACGTCGCCGTGTATTTGCTTATGCAAAAAAACCGAAAAAACTGAACACTTTGTATCTGATTAAAAGAGTATAAAAAGCCAGGCAAACAGTAAGAATAAATGTTAACGCGCCTTAGAAGAGTGGCAAAGCGCAAACAGAGAAAAGAACCAGTAAGGAAATAGCTGTAAAAAATGTGAATAGTAAAATACTCTAACTAGCATTTTAGCATTTATAAATTGATATCAGAATACAATATAATGATCAAAAATATAAAGAATAAGAGAGATAAGGGAAAATATGAAATAAATATTATATGACTAATAATATAATATTTAAAAAATGGTGAATTTCTTGCCAAATTTGAATGTTTCTCTTCAACCATTAAAATTGATTTCTTTAGGATAGAAAATATTTCATAGACTTGATTACTGAATGCTAAAGATGTTTTAATACAGAACTGATTTAATTGAAAATACATTTGAAGTTATTTTTCGTAAGTTTTATAAGTTTAGTATGTAATATATATAAAGTATTTTTTACATGTTGTCAAATTTTTTAGTTGATATTTCTAGGTTTTATTATCTTAAGTTTTTCTTCCAACTTCTTAGTTTGTGCTCTGATTTTCACGCAGTCGATCAGTAAAATCAGATAAAGCTAGAAACTAGCTGGGAATTAATCTTAGGATTCAAAGTTGCAAAAATCAATTGAAAAGATACCTATTTTACGATTATTCGCCTTTAGAATGATTTTAATTCTTATTAACTTAATTCCTTAAGCCAAATGAACTTGGATTCTACATTATATAAAATTCTATTGAGTATAGTATCTCTGATAGTTTCTGCTGTGGGTATCATCAGTTGATTAGCTAATTATGAATATATTTGTATTTCTATGTAGACAGAGCTAGTTAATCTTCATTCAGGCTGCTCACCTAACTGATAGACCCCCAAAAATTTCGCAGCGCATTATCAAGAATCAGACAGCTGTAGCTGCAGACATCTATTCACATACATTCAATTGTTGATATAGACGGCTCTTGGCTGAGGGTGTATGTGTGTATGTCGGCAAATATATGCACATAAGTAAAAAGTATCTTTGTCAGAGCAAGGGGCGGGGCAGTAGCTCAGCTCCCGCAGCGTCCTCCTCTCCCCTCCTCAATCTGTTTGCCTCTTCGTGTTCAATAACATTTCGATAACATTTCACTGCGACTTTGACTTTGCGCATTTCGCTCTATATAAATATACAATAGTTTGTTGTTGTAGCTGATATGACGCTTAAAATACATATATATATGTTCTTTATATACACATATATACTTATTTGTATGTACGTTTATAAAAGCAACTATAAAAAATGCAAATTTTATTTCGCTTTTTATGCGCGGGCTTTTGTTTTTCTGTCTTTTTGTATCTGTTTGTGTTTTCTTTTTTGTTTTTCGTTCGCGCTTGGGTTTGTTGTTTGGATTTGTTTTAAAACGTTGCTCCGATTTATTTATTGTGCCATTCATGGTGTAACTGTATTTCCATTGGATGCGGGAGCAGTAGCTGTATTTCCATCTAGCTACACAGCATTTATTTATTGTCCTTGTTTTCTTTTGGCCGCATCGCAACTGCTGCAATTTATTGTTGGCAAAAACTAGAGGCTAGTAAAATATTGAAATATCAATACAAATTTCACCATGATTTGCGCTACACTGACAGAGAGAGATTGGAGTATATATATATATATATATATATATATATATATATAGAGAGAGAGAGAGAGAGAGAGAGAGAACAATCTTTGCGTCCATAAATAACATGCGTTGCTATAGTTTTCTCCGCTTCAGTTTAGATAAATGCAATTTGTGCGCAGTTTAATTGACAACAGAAACTGGGGAATTGTAAGAACTTCAATTGTTTGAATTGTTCGGAATCAATATATATATATATACAAGCATTTATATACACACTGAGATTAGTCCATGATATATGTGCATCCAGCATAATGCCACTCAGTGCCTTTTCTCTGTCTGATAGCTTCCAAATGATTTATAATGCTATCACTGGGTTTGAAACGAACTGAAATGCACCAAAAGAACGAATAGCCAATCGAATATATATTATCTTTAATACTCAATTATTGGGTTGCCTTCAAGTCAATCTCATATAAATGTGTATATAGGCATTGTTTATACTGTTGTTTATGTACACACATTGTATATAGATTCTTTTTATTGTTGTTTACTCTTTCATTACAGACCTAGTCTGACCTAGTCTTGGCAGCTATCCTTATATGTCGTGTCCAGCTGCCAGCTATCACACCATAGAAATCTGTTTTATTTTAAAATAGTAATAATAACAATTGTATTGAAATTAAAGCACATTTTTATTAAAAATTATCACTATTAATTAAAAATTAATTCTGTTTACCCTATTGTAAATTTGATCTAACGTACTGTTTGGCATTATATTATCACTTCTTCACCTCCTCATCTCACAGTTCAAGCTCTAGTTTCCGTCAGATATCGTGCAACAGCTATTTCAGTTCTTTCAGTTTTTGTTGTTTTTAATTCCTTAATCATATATTATTTCGCTTTGTCAGCGATTCCTAAACGTTTTACTTAGCCAATTTGGCTAATTTACTGAGCTATTTATTCGCCACAGT